CCCCAAAACCCCAAAACCCCAAAACCCCAAAACCCCAAAACCCCAAAACCCCAATCATAATTAAGCTAATTGAAATTGATCTTCGATTTCAAACATGATGCATCAAATAAGATTATCAAGAATATTATTATAAGAACAAGTATGTTAGAACGTGCTCCTCAAGCAGGCCGTCTAATAAGTTTAGCTTGATCGATCAGAGACTAAGCAAGAAATATTCTGTCTGCTTGTTTTGGTGCAAGTTTAGAGAGCTTTAAACAAGAAAAATCGATAGAGATTTAGTCAGTTATTTGGCTTCATTCATTCTGTTAATTCTAACACAATGAAGAGTAGCATCTCTCCAGTTTAAATAGTTGGGTTTAATTGTGTCACACTAGAGCCCGTACTTCTTTTCAAAAACCCATGTTAAAGCTGCCATATAGGCACTAAAATTGCCAATTTCTCAATCAACCCTCTTTTATCTTTTAAATAAAAATGGGTCTTAACAAAAACTTAGTGATGTCCAAGGTACCGTGCAGCCTTTGGATAGATAAAATGAGAGACAGAGCTAAGTCTAAAACATATTCAGATGTTCTTAATACGAAGAGTATAAATACTATCCTTTAAATATCAAGTTGGTGCCTCTATTTCCTAAAATTTAAAAAATGAGAGACTACCTAATTGACTATTAAAGCTCCTTAAGTGCTGACTATCATAATTCAGCATGCCTGATTGGGGAAATAATCCCAAGAGGAAGGAGGGACTCCTAAAGTTCAAGACTCACTGACTAAAACTTGTTGTTTCTAAGGATTAATGCAGTAAAACCCTGATGCTAACCATATTTTGACCTTAAAAATGGATCTTTTCAAGCCAGCATCTGCAAAGTTTAAAAGAAAGATTATTAAGAAGAAATGTAAGTCTTATTATTCATTAGTCTCTTTTTGCATCTCAGTGATGATCTTCTGAGCTTCCTGTTCACTTATCAATAATTGGTCTGAGTTACTATCAATTTCGCTGTTTCTACTCATATATCTTGACCCATCTTCGTTAAGAGATTTATCTTCAAGAAGCTCTGAAGCAGCAATAGCAGCCACTTCAGGGAAGATTCCGGTGATATTCAATAACTTGACAGGTTCCAATTCTTTCCTAAGCTCTTCAATTCTCTGATGTTCTGTGAGTTCTCTAAGAACTTTTTCATTGATAGAGTTTGAAACAGGATAAGCCTCTGCTGCATCTTGTTGATCGTACACCTTGGACATTTGAGTGATCTCTGGATCCTCATATCCAGTAGAACCATTTGAAGAAAAGTGTCTACAAATGCACTGTGTTAAAGTTGATTTCTGTTTCAACTGGGGTTTCACCTTTAGTAAGAAAGCAGCCTTGGTCTTTACAAAAGCTTGTTTACTTGATATCATAAAATTATTTTTCTATTGGCTTCGAACAAGAAGGGGTTTTGGGGTTTTGGGGTTTTGGGGTTTTGGGG